ATGGCTGTCCAATCCTCCTTCATGCCACAGAGGGTTTTGCACACACCAAGATGGCAGGAGACACTATGGCTTTTGTTCAGGGCTTTAGATTCTCTTTCAGGTCCATTTTCAATGCAGGTGTTTACCACCATCAGGATCCCCTGACTGAACCCAAGCCCTTGGAGCACACAGGAGCACCTGGGAATGTCTGCCAGGAAGAAGGGAATTAGAACAAAATTAGTTTTTCAATTTCTGTTCTGTTTTTCTCTTTGCACTCTGTAGACTCGTTTAACACATTCCAGACAGATGTATAAAGCCTGACATGAAAAGGTTATGTCAGTATAACATATCCAATCATCAAGATCATGTAAGCGCCAGCCCTCATCCTTTCTCATGTTCAGGTTCCAAAAAATGCGTGCTCCAATATTTTTATATGGCCAGACTCAAATATGTGTGCTGCAAAGTTGCTCCTACATGACCAATAACTGTGACTCCTTGGGCAGCAAAATGTAAGTCAAGTGGAGTAAGAAACTTTGGCCCTTCCACCTCCAGAAGAACTTCCTCATGGTTGGTTCAAAGGAACAGACTGACCCCATAGCTGAGAGAACAAAACCAGACACAGCACTTTTCTTACTTTTTATATAAAATAAGACATTTACATACATTTTCTTTTGCAAAGACTTCGAGCATAACTCCTTTATGTGAAATCTAGCCATAAATCCCACAGTGAAAAAAGCAAAGACTTTGCAAATTCCTGTACCACTGACATACATCCAGCTGCTGCTAAGTGTGAATTTAATTTTAAAAGTTTTCTAATCCACAGGCTGTTTTCTTGGTGTTTTGGTTTTTTTTTAAAGATACGCACAACTGATTAAAAAAATAGATACAGAAATAAGAACCATATTAGCAACAGGCAATGCAAACACCTCCCGCATGAGAGGAACACGCAGCATTACATCGACTTCAGGCAGAGATTTCTACAGAAATACAGTTGTAGAAGCTGTAACTTTTACAGAGGATACCACCGGGGGTATTTTCCAGAAGAAGAAATTTTCAGCAAGTCGGTACAAACATGGCAATGAACTTTTGCACAAAGTTATCAAGATTACCTGAAGCAACTTTGCCACATTGAAACACTAGTGAATGCCAAGCGCTTTTTTTTCTTCTTTTTCTTTTTTTTATTTTTTTTTTTTTTTTGCTTCTGGGTTTAAATGTACATGAAAGTAAAATGGTGCATTTTGAAATTGCTGCAAGAGACTGAAGGTTGGGGAAAAAAAGCCCTCTAAAGGCTATTTTTTTCCAAAGATTGTGCATAATTGCATATATGAATGATAGAAATTGAGCACTTGGTCAACTTAATCCTGAGAGGAGACTTAAGCATATACCAACTGTTTCACCAAGTTGGAGGACAAGTGAGGCAAAAGATCACAAAAGTATATTCTAAATGGCCTAATTTTTAAAATTAGAATGACAATTATCTTATTTCACCAAATATTGTACACTGTATCTGGCCTGGTTTCTATAACTGTTGAGAAGCTTTTACAGTTTTTAGATAATTTTAGGGGTGTCCAGCCTCCCCTGCAAGTTAGGCTCTTTGTTTTGTGTTTTTTTGACTTAGACTTCTTCCACTCATGTGCATGCACGCACACCCCTGCCCCCATCTTAGTCAAGATCTCTGGAACAAAGGCCATTTGCACTGCTGCATTCAGTTACTGTTTGGCCAAAACAAGCTGCCTGCACATTTCTAGGAAAACCTAGTCCAAGTAGTCTATGAGAGAGAGAAAATGTCCCCACTGCATCATTTATCCCAGGGGATGGAAAAGGAATGGAAGCAAAGGATGCTGGACTTTAAATAAGCAATAAAATAAAACAAAATCCATCAGCTGAAAATACTATTCATGGAGAAAGGAAAAAGCAACACAATTATTATGTTTTTAATTTAGGATTAAAATGCACGAGTACATGAAAGTCCTGTCTAACCAGCTTTCCATTAACCCTTCACTTTAATATTGGTGAGTGCTGAGGTTTAGAATGCAACTTGCAGAGAGAGTGAACTCTCCCCACCAGGTAGAGCTTTAGCCATTTATTAGTTTGTAATCTCTGCTAACCATGCTGAGCACTGGAATTGGCAGAAAACAATGTATTTATAACTCATTATTTTAGAAGCTGTGCAATGCTAGAGGAAGAGGACATTTCCTATGATTAATTAGGATAATATCCAGTTTATCACAAGGTAAGTCATTCCATTTATCTTCCACAATCACAATCCCTTTTCATGGAGGTAACCCATTTCGTATCATACTCCATTCTTCTTTGCCTGCAATAAACCTTTCATGAGATTAATGTCCTGAACAAACACAGCGTTTCAGCATGGATGCCAACGAGGCAACGAGTCAGCTCAAAACTTTACAAGGGTTTAACTGCTTTGGTAGCTCAGGATCTGAATCGTCCTCCAAATACACTGCCAGTTTGCAGACCTTCTTAGATGGGGTATAAAGTGCTGGTTCAGGAAAGTGGAGTTCATTATCGAGCCCTCCTCTCTCCATAACTACTACAAACCCAGCTCCAAAATGTGGAGAACTGGCCTTTCAGCATATAAATGTAATCCGGTTCAACCGGGATTAAACTCCCTGGATATGTTATCTGCCTAATTCAGGCGAGTAGATGAACATACGCCATGCATTCCAACCAAACCACCTCCTGTCTCATCTTTCTACATTATTCTGCAAGTAAGATAGTGTTGTGAAAACAATAATCCTTCTCCAGGATCTTGGAGGGGGACACCCAAAGCTATATTATACTTTTACACGTGCACTGGTTTGAGGAGGTCAAGATAACCTTGGTTATCTTGACCTGAACCTCAGGTTCTAGGACAAGAACGAGACAATCATGTCTACCAGGTCTCTCAGGAAAGACAAACTAAACTTTAAGCCAAAGTTAAAAACACAAAACCAAGTCACTCCCCCTTCTGAAGCATTGCTATAAAAAATACAACTTCTTTTATATTCAAAAAAATATGTTTCATTGGCCACAATTTAAAGCCACACTGCTGTGGGGCTTGTAGAATATATTGTATTTATTTAATATATCTTTATGAGATTAAGTTTATACTGATACAGATTTTTAAATGAAATATATCTCCCCCCACTCCTATCCCCCATCCTTCGGCTAGCTGTCAGAGCAGTCTGCAGATGCCTCCTCCCTGGAGGGCTTTGCACAGCACCGCTGTTGGGGGCCGCACCAAACACCACGCTGTGAGCCCCCAAAACTTACCACCGCACGGCTGTACCGCAGCCAGCCAGCCAGCCAGCCTGGGCACACTGGGCTTTGGGGAAGGTGGCCTGAAGGCAGGCTTGCTTTGGGGAGAGGCAAAGAGCTTTATGGTCCAGGTGCCTCTGAATACCCCCGTAACGAACCATCTACAACTTTGCAATGCACAGTGGGGAACCGACTCCCCTCAGAGGCTATTTAAGCTTTTGTTTCCCCTCCTTCCAGCTACCCTGGCAGTGCCAGGGCTGTGCAAAGCTGCTCCATGCATGGCATCCAGTGGAGCATCTGCACTGGGGACCTGCAGAAACATCAGGTCAGCAAGTCCACGGCCATAAGAGTTGTGAGACAAGACAAGGGTTGCTGACCCAGCCCCAGCCCCTCAAACCCACCCTTGGCCCTGGAAAGAAAAGTAGGCTGCGTGGGCTGAGGGCAGAAGGAAAATTCACCAGCAAAAGTCTTGCTTGGTCTTGGTCCCAGCTACTTCCTTGGGATTAATGAAGCTGGTTTGAACAGACAGAGCCCAGAAATGTCTGTCACCACCTTCTCCCCACAATGGTCTCTCCCTCCCACCAACCTTATGAGCTGGCCTCTGCCCGCCTGTATGCACTGGCTGGTCTCCTTGGCCAGTGTGGACGGGTACCTCCCAAGTCCAGCCTTGTCTTGGTGGGCAAACAACCATAGCTCCAGTGGGTCCACAAGTCCTGGCAGGGCAGACACTTGTGCCAGTCTGGACTCCCTCTGAGCTCCAAATGCAGTTGGAGTCATGTTAATAATTTGTCAGTAATTTGACCATCAGTAGTGGCGAGACACTGAGGACACTGAGCTTTTTGAACGAAGCCATTGGGGACAGCAGCGCATGGCTGTCCCATCAAACTGAGCGAATCTGGAGCTTGCCAAGGTGCCAGGGCCAGCACCAACTAAGCCTGGGTGCCATGTGGGACACTGCCACACAGGCTTTTCCTGACAGATGTGTATCAAGGCATTGCATACCTAATCTGAACTGTCCTTTACTAATAATGCCAAACCCTGGGCTGCTCTTTTGCAGGGACTGGCCACAATCAAGCTCAAATATAACAACTTTTATGGTGGTTTCCTGCTGCAAGAGGAACAAGCTGATGACCTACCCTGATGTCCAAACCAAAAGGCAGTGGCACCAAGCATGATCCCACTAACACTCTCTGTGAACTGGTACAAACCCTGGTGGAATCAGAAGAAGTGCTGTTATTGCAGTGACAGTATGGTCCAACATGCTCTGCAGACATTTGATTTAGAAACATCATTAGGGGGATTTACTCAAGCACACCTTGGTGGTACTGCATTTTTCTAACTTCAGACCATACAAGTCACATCACCCAGCCATACGGCCAGCTGTGAAGGATACTGCCCAATTCATATAAAACAGAGAATATATATTAATTATTTGATTATTATAAGTTAAATAAATAAAGCTCAAAAATAAAAGCCCCAATTCTGAAGAGAATTTATTTTCCCACTTCAGTATTTAAAAATATAGATTTATGACTGATCAGCTATAGGTAATTTTCTGTATCTTTTGGGAGAGGGGGTGAGAACACTTTGACAAAGAGTTTTGTCACTGTTATCACTATGATAAATGGGCTTTGTCCCTGCACACTCATAAAAAAGCCTCCTTAGTACTCTTCCAGACTAGGAAATCTTCCCTAATCTCTCTGTGCTTTACTTTACCTCCTATGTCAACCAGATCAGTTTGTTTGGTTTTTTTTTTTTTTTTACTGGGGACTGGACAGGAGGACAAGTAAACTTGGATTTTCCCATTGCCTTTGGATGCTTCAATTTTTTTCAGAGTAATAATTATTTGGCCTGGAGGGAGAGGGCAAAGGGTAAAGCCATACAATATTTGACAACACCAACATCATGACCCTGAATTATTAAAAAATTACTATTTTATATCTAAAACATTCAGGTGAGGTCTTCCCTCAGAGGATCATTTGTCCTACTTGTAGAATCATCCTTCTAGGGTGATATTCAGATATTGTCTTCCCTTTCTTTAGAATAATTTTCAAGTCACATTCAGAGTTGTAAAAGTGGCCACCATGTCCTCAGCATTAAGTCCTTGAAACCTTTTTATGTGACCATTATGACCATCTTTCCTGGCTCAGAAGGAAGTAGCAGCTCTTGCAATGAAGCCCATCAGTGTTACTTTACATGGACGAAGTGAGACTGTGTTGAGTGACAGAAGGTGCTACTTCACCCTTGCTGCAGTGGATGAGTGCTTTGTCTCCATGGTTTCCCCAGTGATAACCAAGATATTGAAGGTATGTGTCCCACCTACACTCCCAGTGTGACTAAAATGGGTTCAGCCTAAACATAAATTATGATTAAAGGAAGGTTTTCATTAATTCTCCAGCATGTCCCACAGGAGCAGAGTGTCTCCTGTAACTTTGGTCAAACATAAGCATGCATACAAAATTTGCCTTCCGTAATTCTGAGTCCTATCAAAGTTCCTTCAGTGTCACTTTGAACAATAGGCTTCCACCATACTCTTCTCCAAGGGGCATGAGTTTCTTTCCACTGGTGACTGAATGCTATGTTTGGTCTTTCTCCTGGACTTCCTGAAACCGTTTCTCCAAGCGATCCAGTTTGGCCAGATTCTCCTTCAGCAGTTTGCTGTTTGGAACCAGCTGTAAGGCTTTCTCATAGTAGCCACGGGCAGTGATGTAGCTCCCCTACAAAGAAAATGAGTTACAGATCTCATTTGCATTCCCTGACACAGAAAGTTCATTCTCTGGGAATGGTGAAGACCATAATACAAACAAAAAAGAGTTTATAAGCCTTGATATTGTTAGGTATCAGGAATACTTCTTCATTATGAAATGGATCACTGAGTGCCATCATCCTAAATTTGATCAAACACACATGGCAAGAAGTAGATTTACATTTTTTCTGTTATGTTGTACCAGAAGAGTTCATTTTACTCAGTGATAGGATAGCTTGAGGATATCACACATTCTGACTCTTTAAGACTCAAATTGTAATGATATGCTAAAGTATTCAAAAAGATAAGCAACCACAGGGCGGGCTGTCTGCTTCCATAATTTCATGCCAGTATTCTGCATGAGACATCTTTATTAAATTAATTAGGCAGAGAGGAATCTTAAAAGTTGACTCATGGTGACATTTTTCTAAGCCAGGGCAACAAATGAAGCAGAAAAACTTTAGAGATGGGCAGGTTGCTCCTCGCAGCCTTTCCTCTCACAAATACGGGATTTGCATTACAGGATACATATTCCCAACCAATCTGGTTGGGAAATTCTAGTTGGGGCGGACAGACTTTCCTCCTTTTTGGATAAAATATGTCAGGGACACTCACTGTTCGTGAACATGCAGCTCTTGGCAGTATGAAACAAATTTAGCTTTCTGCCCTGAGTACTAGTGTCTGCAGATGACAGCTAAAGGAAAAGCAAAATTGTCATACCTTGATGTGCTCAATGCCTCCCATATTCATCCAGGCCTGTGCTTGGTCTGGGTTGAGCTCCACAGCCCGTTTATAGCTCTACATAAATATGAAACATTTTTAGGTTAAGAGTCTGAGCCTTCAAACAAAAGCAGTGCTGGAGGGGAAAGGGAAATGAAGTTTCCTCTCCCTCTGAATCCATTTTAAACATAATTTCAAACTCTTCTCACATAAAATGCACAAGCTGAATTTCAGTTTCTTTACAGCAGAGGTGACATAACATACTGCTTCACCGCTGAGCTCATCTCACAGGTTTTCCCTGCCCATGGCACAGCACAAGGAGCCACACCAACCCCTGCCACCCTCTCCCTGCCACCCGGCACCATTGGGGTCTCCTGCATGTCAGGGTCATTACCCTGGACACGTGCTTGCCACCCACAAGACGTGTGGGCTGTGATGCTCCTTATCTGCAAGGCTTTAATTTGGAGCTGGCAGCAGACTATGGTACAGCCACCTGTGTGGAGGTTTCACAAGGACCTGAGGGCAGTGCTATCCCTCCCCTCTGCTTCTGCCATCGTGCATGGGAAAAGAAGCAACAAGCACTTTCTGGACTCTGTCAAACAGCACCATTTTATGGTGTCACAGCAGGAAAGGATTCAAACCAGGATTAGACATCTCTAGGGATATCCAGAGTATTCAGAACTGTCCCAATAGCAATTTTCTGTGATATTATTTAACACTTAACATAATTTCTGAGCTATCAAGCTTCACAGGATAAGCCAACCTCTCAGCTATTAGGTAATGAGGTGAGATATAACAACATGGTGGGCTCTCACAGGTTTCAGCTGAGCCACCTGGAATTGGCCATTGCCAGTGAGAGGGGCTGGGGCTGGATAGACCAAGGGTCTGGTCAGTGTGACAAAGCTTAGGCTCCTCCATAGTCCCACCACAACTCTGTACCTGACCTCTCAGAGCAGGGAGCTGTATTTCCACACAGAAATGAGGAAAAACGTTGCAACTAAGTCTGGCAAAGTTAGCTGCCCCATAGCTTTAGCTGTACCACTGGTGAACTGCTGAGTTCCCAAGGCCAACAGCCAGGGTGTGTGCACCAGGGAGTATGAGAGGCACAAAACTATCTGTAGGGTTTAGAGCAGTCATACCTCAAAAGCCTTGTCAAGGAGATTCTGTTCTCTTAGCTGGTTTCCTTTAGTGAAAAAGAGCTCTGATATGACTTTTGGATCCTTTGGTTTTAGCTGAAGAGCTTTTTCTATAGCTTCGAGTGCCTGTGAAAAAAGCAAGAGGACATTGTGTTACTATATTCTGCACCTTTCCACTTCTCATGCTCTCCTCACCACTAGGGCTTCCCAGCACAAGAGTCATCTTCTTCCTTCCCTTGTTTGCCCCACACTGATAACGCATGTGGAAGTGAGTTTTTTAAATGTCTGTGTCTGTTTTTTAGATGGAAGTGGGTCTGACAGCAGTGGGAGCACTAAGTGGTAAGACAACCATGCTGCTTAGCTTCAGTCCCAGTGCCTAGATAAACGGAAGGTTTTAGTGAAAAAATAAATCTATTAGATGCGCGCTAAGGCGTGTGACATGTCTCTGAAGAGATAGAATGTAAAATTGAACCTGGGCTCTGTCTGTGAGCCCTCAGGACAAGGCACCCCGTGGCCACAGTACCTTGGCATAGTGCTCCTGCTTGCTGTAGATGGCTGACAGAAGGCGGTAGCATTCCAGACACCCTGCATCCTCGCTGAGTATGTGGTTTGTCATCTTTTCAGCTTCCTTCGTGCGCCCCATCATTGCTAAAACCTGTGCCTACAGAGCCACATTATACAGGGTTATGATCTTAAAAACCTCCGTCCTCTTTAATACATGATGCTGCACCCAGCGGCTGGTGCTGGGCTCCTGCTTCTGCTGGTGGTGTTAAGAGGCACCTCAAGGAAAGGCAGAAGGACTAACTTGAAGGACTAACGCTTCCCAGTAAGTAAGGGGCAAGTCAGATTTTCTCTATGCCAAGTCCTGCTCAGCTGGAAAGGCAGTGGCTGAGACATGGGCCTGACTCCAGGAGGGATGAGGAAGAAACAAGAAGGACAGGAGAGATGGTTGCCAGATGGCCAGCATGAAGCTAGAACCAAGCTCTGAGCCTTGGGCAACATTGCCACTAACAGAGCCATCCTGCTCCACTTTTGTGGCCCTGCCCTGGCCGAGCTCACCCCATACTCACCAGTGCCAGTCGAATCTCTTTGTTTGAAGGCTGCAGCGATGCCGCTTCTCTGTAAACCTGCAATGCTTCTTCATATCGCCCCGTGTTGTAATACAGAGCCCCCAGCGGGGACAGGATTTCAGCCTTCCGGGATACCTTCAGTGCCCTGGAATTTGGGGGAAAGAGATGCTTCCAGGTGGTGTGGGGATCAAAGCAGAAGACTCAGGTGTGGCTTGTGCTGGAATGGAGCAGCTAAGCTCTGCACTCTGCATGGCACTCTCATCCCACCCCAGGGAGCACAAATTTAACATCCCAGGGAAGGACGAGCATGCCCACAGCTGCAATCCCTCTGGTCACCCAAGGAGAGGGCCACCTCCAAAGTGCATGTGAGCATGCAGCAGGAGTGGGGATAGCTGATGATGGCAGAGCCCAGGGAGCGTAAGCATGAATCAGGATGCCAAAAAGGAGGCAAAAAATAAGATGGTCCACCCTGCTACATAGTGGGATGCCTATGTAGAGCCTGCCTGTTGGCACATTGCTGGGAAGGGCTTGAGTTCCTGACGGTGCCAAGGTTTAGGTGCCAGGCTGTGTGGCAGTTATAGCTGTTACTGGTGCTAACAACCTGCTCATGCCACCGAGAAACCTCTGACTTTGTTGTTAGGGCATCCCCCAGCCAAAAGCTGGCAGTGTATCCATCCTGGGGGCTTGGCAAGTCAACACTGTTTGAGACTATGCTGCCTCTCCAGGCATTCCCCCAAAATAGCCAAACAAGCAAGGATAAATCTGGTTTCAAAAAGATGGAGAAGGAATGGGGGAAAACCCAAACGTGCACTGACAGATTAATGTATCAGAGGGGCTTCAGAGAGACAAGCTGTACAGGGGAAGGAGGGAAGCCCCTGTCTTCCATCTCGAATTCTTACCGCTTATACCACACTTCAGCCTCTTTGTTCTGCCCCAGGGAGCGGTGAAGCCTGCCCAGGTTTACCATGGCCACGTGGTGAGTGGGGCTCAGGTGGATGGCCTGCCTGTAGTGGGACACAGCTCGCTCAGGAGCCCCTGGAGAGGAGAACAACCATTAAACTGCTGTCTCAGAAAAATGCTGTCGCAAATTCAGCATGCAGTAATGCTCTGGGTGTTCTTTCAGCTACTGCACTGTGCATAGGAACCATTTTGAGAAAGTAATCCTGTCTCAACCTTTCTAGAAATTAAATTGCTCTGTGCATAGGAACCATTTTGAGAAAGAAATCCTGTCTCAACCTTTCTAGAAATTAAAAAAAATCACTGTCCAAATTAAGATCTAAGCTCCAGTATTCAGAGACAATCCAGAGAAACAGATTTTGTAGGGATGGGTTTCTGGAAGTCGAGGGTACAGTAACCATAAGACTGCTGACTGAAAGCACCCTTCAGTCATGCTGCGGGGGGACACGATGCATGCCCCAGACTAAGGACAGAGTCCATCCCAGAGAGTGGGCTGGGGCGCGCATCCCAGCTCCTGGGAGAGCATCCTTCCACCCTGGCCCACTGGAGACACAGGCAACGGAGACATGGAATGCGTCCCAGCTCCTGGGAGAGCATTCTTCCACCCTGGCACACTGGAGACACAGGCAACGGAGACATGGAGAACTAGCAACCCAGTATTACCCACAACCCCGCCAGAGATGCAAATAGTTTCAGCTCTTTCCAAACAGAGACTGTTCCCTCTGCCTCTGTTGCATTGGCCCTGCTCAGTCTCTGCGCATTGCTCAACAGGACTGGGAGCAGCTCCCAGTGACCAGCTAATTCCCACCTTGGGGCAATAAATCACAGACCAGAGGTATGCAGGTGTCTGTTTTGGAGCACGTAGGCACCAACTCTGTGTTGCAGAGGAGCCATGGGGTGGCACTGCTTCACTATATGAAAATGTCTACTGATGCAAGGTCCCACAGTCCATGACATGACCAAGCACCACAACAAAATACAACACTGTGCAAAAAGAAAGGTGCCAGACCACTAGCCCAAATAGTATCTTTTTCTCTATCTAAATCGTGGTTTTCCTCAAGAAGGATCTTGCAGTACTTTCCTCAGGCAGGACCTGTTGATTATCTACCAAATAAAATAATGGGGCACCGTATAAAGTTCCAGCATTTCAGCAATGTGAATAACATATTTTTAACCCCATTGCTTGTTTAACTGGTTTGCACACTCTAGACCAGATAATCTCCTGATGAAAACCGATACTCATGGAGTCTTGTCCACCAACAAAGCTTTTGAGTATTGGCATTTTTTAAGCCAAATCACTTCACAATGTATTTAATTCCATTTCTATCTGGAAAGCAGAATTTGAAAACAGCCAGCATGTGTTGGGGTACTGAACATATGCTGCCATTGGAATTTTATTTTCATAGCTTTTCAGCTCTAGTTTGGTTTTCCTGAGACTATCTATGCAACAGAAAAGTAACCCTCATACTTCTTGGTGTCTCCTTCCAGGAGAGAGGAGGGAAGTCTGTAGGGAGATTTAGAAGCACTTAAGATCTATCCAAGTCCAACAACCATATCTGTCAGGGTAGGACTTTTTTAAAAACATCCAGCAGCAGCCTCAGTCTTCTCCTACCACTGAGCAGGCAGATGTTTTTGAAAATCATATCTACAAAACACCCTGGGAAGCAGCCAGGCATGCACCTCAGTCTGTAAGTCAGCCAGTGCCTCCCCGGCTCAGCACACCGGGGTAATGCGCATCGTTCAGGGAGACACACTGAGTGTCTGTAACCACTGCAGAGCTGTCAGGAGTTATGGCTCCCCAGAGCTGACACTTGCTGGAGGCTTGTTGCACAAAATCCTGCAAGTTAATTGGAGTGGTGCTTCACAGCATCTCCTGGTGCCCACCAGGGAAGAGCGCAGCCTGTGACAGGCCACTTCCTTCACGCCTTGTTATGTCTCCAGGAAGGTTATTTACACATCATGCCTGAAGTATCAAAAGTCAGTGGGGCTTTTTTCCTGTTGTTTGTGTGCAGAGAAGTGTAGGAGTAAACCACGAAAAGTCAGTTTTGACTATGGCAGAATACACAAGTGCAAAAAATAGAAGGTGTACTGCACTGTATTTGAACCAGTTTTTGTCAGGACAGGGCAGTTTATCAGGGTTAGGAAGCAAAGATAAGTATAACGTCAGAGTGAAATTACTGAGGAATTTTTATGATTTGCAAGCTCGAATTTTGCCAGGGCACAAATTCAGAACCTCAATCTCTGTCGCTAATGCCCTGATGCCTTTTTTGATTACAAGTACTCATTTTGGCTTTGTATTTATCTCACGCTGGTACTACAGAAGAGCAATGACTGAGCATCAGTTCAGAGGTATGACAGCCAGCTGCAGACTGATGGACACCATCATCTATGGTTCCCAAGCACCACTGGAGCCAGGTGCAGTGTGAAAGGGGCAGGATTGGTAGCAAACACACACTTTAAGCCTACAATATTTCAACACTGAGTCTCAGCAGTGTCCTGGAGAGACCAGACTGAGCCAGTAGTTTGGCTTCCACTGGTCATTTGTCAAACTTAGCCCTGCTTATAAAGCTGTCAATAAAAGGCAGCAATTACAGTGACTTTTTTTTTTTTTTATTGTTATGTGGATGCCAGGAAGTGCCTGAGTGGAGGGAAGTTGGATAGGAACCAGAAACCCAGAGAAGAAAGGCTTTGGATGTCATTGTGGAGCTCCTGAGAAATCAATTCACCCCATAGTATCTTAGGTTTTGTTTTCACAGATGATTGTGGTTTCAAAGCCATGTTTGTTTTTATAGCAGTGGCACTCAACCTTTACAGTCAAAGAGCCTCTTTGTCACCAAGTAGAACTGCAAGTGCTCCAAAGACCATAACGATCCACTTGTGTGCCTGGGATTTGGTTTGATGTGGCCATGCTTTCCTGGAGAAAGGGCAGTATTGTCAGGGTGCTGCCCAGCTCAAACTGAAGAGGACAACTGACTGTGCAAAGATGGTGAGAAACACTGAAGGAAACAGCCAGGCTGAATGCCACTGCCACACAGTGCCTGTATTGATTGCAAATTTCAGTATGCTGTGCCGTCTCAGCAGCACGGGGATATTTATTTCCAAGCTACAGTGGAGACACATCTATTGCTTTGGAAGCTTTTGACACTGTTTTAGATGTGTACTGCTGAATAAAACAAACCAAAGCAAATAATGCAGAGAAGGAGAATCCCTTGCTCCTTCTCACTTACCAGTATCAACCAAGAAAACACCGTAGTTGTTATGCAGATCAGAGCTCTCTGGACAATTCTCTATGCCAGCCTTATAGACCTCCTCTGCTTCCTTAAGCCGCTCCTTAAAAGAGAAGTAGATTTCTTAGCCGTGGCAGATAGGGTGTCAGCACCATTTGCCACATACCTGCATTTTGGGACAACTCCCTCTGTGCGTGGGGAGCTCAAGGCAACAGCACACCCCACCTTCTAGAAGGCTAAAATTTTACCCCATGGCATGGATTTGATATAGCTGCCATCTGGTACCCCAGAGCAATTCAGACAGCCTTCCCCCATACATCTGCAATTGGGGCTACCTGTGAAACAAAAATAACATCTGGAAAAGGTAGCTTCTGTGCAATATCAGTGAGCCCCATCTGGGCATGCACCCAGCAGGGAAACACACAGTGACAGGGGTTGTGTTGCTTCTGCTAATAAATATCTGCCATCTGGGAGCTGATAATATTGTAATTTATTTGTCTAATGAGTATCTCGCTGGCTAACTTTTCCCCTCCAGACCTCTGCTCTTCATTCCCTAAGCTGCAGGGAAAATACAAGGAATGCAAGCTTGGTGTGTGTGTGATGGATGGGGGACAGGGAGCTCTTGCAGGTGGATAAGGGAAGCTGGAGGAGGATGGGGGGCAACGACAGAGAGGGGAAAACCTGACAGATTCAGATTAAAACCAGGAGTCATCAATGCGTGAGAACTAGTTCACTGGGATTGGTGGGACATGCCACTGTGCTGATTCCCAGATGTGCTGAGCCCTTATATTTTGCATAGATTTCAAGGAGGTTTGTTGGTGCTGAGCATTTCTGGAAAATACAGATCTTTTCTTTGGGAACACCCTGCCTACAGAAAGTGTCCCACTGGCTGCACTCTGTCTAGCCTGAGCTACAGGCAGCCCAGTCCTGAAACACAAATAAGGTGCCTCATTTGGATCAAATAGCAACTTACTAAGGTTTCTATTTCCTTCCAGACAGCCAGTGCATGCCCACTGCCTGCATGCTCACTCACACCAGTTATCACTGTCTTCCTCCCCTCCCTAACCTCAGAGCCTTGCTGTTGGGTGTATTTCTGGAAGGAGGCGGCGCACAGAAGAGACAAGCATGGTGCAGAGGGGTGTCAGGCAAAGCTTCCAGCTATTTCCAACTCTTCCACTTCCATGGAGCTGCTCAGCCCCATGGTGCCAAACCCCATGGCCTCCTGACCATGCTCCCGAACCAAATCAGCTGCCTGGGTCTCCACTGAGGAAGGTCTGGAGCCACCAAGGCAGACTGCCTGCTTGGGAGCTGAATCACATTGACCTGAGAGGTGGGTTCATTCCCAGCTGTGGACTCTCCTCACCTCAAGTCCTCCAAATCCCCAAGCCTACAGGGCTTTCTCTGAATTTAAAGGGTGTACCTGATGGCAGCTTTTGCTCTGTAGCTGCTTAAATGTGTGGACTCCTTTCTCACCTCCTATTTTGTAACTGGAGAGCTGGAATTAATTGCATTGGAAAAGTATGACTTGATGAAAGCACAGGGTTTGCTATGGTTAACTGCTTTCTCATTTACATCATAAAGGTCAGCCAGCAGAAAAGATAGTGTGTGATAAAACACAGAAACACATTTTTTAAAAAGTGCTTAAGTTTGGACATTCTGGATATATTTATGTGAATTTGACATCATTATCTTGCAGGGTCAGGAAAAGTGTAGCGATCGACAGAATTTACTAAAAAGAAGAGCAATCTTTTGAGAAAGCATCTGTGTCTAGACATAAACAAGCATATTTTCAAAGCTTTCTGTATTAATTTTTTTTTCCTCTGATTTTAATTTTCAGCCAAGGAATGTGGCTTTGTGGGCACATATGTCAGTTTTCTTCATTTTATTTAGTGATCAAAAACCCAATCTTTAAAGCATGGAAGGGCTGTGTTAAACTCGATTAGCGGTGTCCCATGTCAAAACATTCACACTCACCAATATTGAGAACTCTTAGCATTTTTATCATGGTTGCATGGCTTTTTTGGCACCTAACATGCTGAGCCTGCATGCCTCAGGCTCAACGCAGAGTCTGGGATGATTTCTCTAACAAAGTGTTTGCATTAAGTGCAGTCAGAAATTGGGAAGGGTGGGCCCAGATTTTTGTGCCAGAGCTTTGTCCCTCACAGCCTCTCCTCTTCTTAGGAGAAATGCTGTAAGTTCATCAAGGCTCGATTCTCATTAACACTTAATAATGACACTCCCAGACCTTCATGAAACATTCACCAACCTCACAAAATCAATAAGATTGGCTTAAAAAATGTATAAGATTTTTATGATATTAAAAAAAAAATATGCATGTGACACTCTCTCAGTTGAGTGAGGTTTTTGAGTCTGGTTTTTTTATGTCTCAGTTTTTCGGTCTGGTTACGCCTGTGTAGGCTCTCCTCTGCAGCTAAGTGGGTTAAAGAGTTTCTTCTTCTTAGTGTAGGCTGATATTATTACACACACACACACAAAAAAAAATCACTTGAATACAGAAACTAGGGTCTGAAAAGAGCCATCGAGTAGCATGAGATGGCTGATGAAACTGCAAGAGCTGGGAAGAAGGTGCTGCTCGGCTGATGAAACTGCAAGAGCTGGGAAGAAGGTGCTGCTCAAGTGCATCAGCGTAAATCCTGGGGTACCAGCATTACAGGAGTTTTGTGAAAACCGTGAACATAAATATTTGATTTCTGATATTAACACCTCTGCAGTGATCATAGAAAACAAGGAAAACAACATCACATTGCAACTAAGTTATGATACCAAGCCAAAAGAGCAGTAAGAAGGGGAAACATTTATAAAAGCCACAAACAAGCCAAACTGCTTTATATAACGTGGCAGTGTTTTACTCCACATCAGCTCTGGCTTAAGAATCAACAATCAAAGAGAGAAAAGGACAATTACATTGAGTTACAGGCTAATTCACTGGCACATGAGACATTCCTCTCAGGAACATTTTTTACAGCTGTGGGAGGAAAGGGCCCATAAGCCCCATTTCAGATTCATTGCCTTTAAGACAGGAGGGAACACGCTGTGTGGGACCAACCAAGACATTCCCTGCACTATTTCACTGAGCCGCTTATACCTATTTCACCCCCTAAGACCAAGGCCTTAGTGCAAAGCTGGAGGAACAGAAGTTTGTCACGGGCACCGTCACTTCATGCGAGTTATTTTAATGTGCCACTTATGGCACTTCAGCCCCCTTCTCACACAGGCCAGTGAGAGGGAATCAGTTTGTGCTCCCTTCCCCAGAACGCCACAGCAATGCTGCCCATGCAGCCCACTGCCTGGCATCACAGGTACCCTGACAGCTGAGAGGAACCCTGCACTACAAGTAGACAGAAAAAGAGGTTTGTAACTTCTAGACATTTTGGACACTACTGCTTAGACAAAGAGGAAACCCTCAAACTGAAAAATGGGGTCCTGTTTTCTCCCTCCTGGCACATACATCCTCCTTTGGGCTGAAGATGTCAAAATTTCTGGCTGCACCCCTCCAGGAAGTGCAGTGTTAGGGTGTGATTCTGCAGCCCACAGCCACAGGCAGCGACATGTATTTGTAGGACAGCCCCTACCGTGGTCACTAGGATGGGTGTACAAGGCAGGAGCTACACAACCAGGTAGTCATCTGCTGTGCCTGAACATGGGAAGGTGTTAAAAGCCTGCAGGAAATAGCTATTGTCTGAGGAAATTGTACTATCTTTTTTCCCCTACCACTTACTTAAGTCACAAGAAGATGAACAACCTATACGTAAAAGTACATGAATTATTGCTGGACTTACTAATGGCATTTGCTTTGGGCAGAAGGCCTCAGGACTCTATAATATTTTTATTGCTCTGTTGACCTTACAATTGATAGTCCTAATTAATAATTTCAATTAATATTAAAACAAGGTATTACTGTGGAGAACTCATTTCCCATACTTGCAGGAGACTCTTCAACGACAGGCTTATTCAAAACACAGTTCCAATTCAATAAGGTTCTTCTTTCAATTCATACACTATATTTCTAGGTCATTGCAGCTGATATTGATAATATTCAAATATTTGAAAGTCACTTAAAAGGGAAAATAAAACACCACAACTTTCAGTAACCCATAAATGTCATAGGTGAATTTTGCAGAGTGCTTACATCATTAAAGAAGCCTAAACCAGAATAAGACCTTTGCGTATAGTTTTGCTGAAATTTATCCACTCCCCTTACAGAGAGAAGATTTCACTAACCAGATTAATGGAAAACAGTGAAAGATGATACTCCTTTGCTTTGTCTGTATTTGCATTTGGTAACCTTTTAAGAGAGTTTACCACTCCATGCTATGGAACAGTTAGATCTGAAACTTGGCGGGGGCGGGGTGGGGAAGTGGGAATCAGTTTTCAAAAGGCTGGAGCTGTGCAGTTATGAGGACCTCGCCCCCCACCCTCATAGCCCTGGACTGGGGCCACTAGTTGTGGCCACAGTCCGTGGGAGCAATGCCCAAAGCACAGCATCACTCATCTGCTGCTGCAGGCTTGGAGAAAAGCAGGGCTTGGTGGTCTTGATGTGGGCACCCACACTTCAGGGCTTCTTCTGAACTCAAGCATTTTGTGCCTTAATTTCCCTTTTCCTCCATGGAGACAGTATTTCACCTCACAGGGACACTGTAGAAATAAATTACCTAACTACAGAGAGTAGGGAGAGCCCCGAGTAATGAGCATGGGGAACAAGCCCAAGAGGAAATGAGTAACCCTGCCTCCAGAGCACAGCCTGTGCCATGCGCAGTAAATGAGTCCTGGGGGCACATACTGAACAATGAGGTTAAATAAAATATCGAACAGCTGCTCATTAAGACCAATATAAACCTAGCAAGCCTTTTCCCCCTGTATGTGATCATCTACCATGGTAATTAAGGGCCATATCCTGATGCATGCATGCAAGGGGCAGAATTCAGGCTGCAGAGGCCACCTGGTTTCATGACAATTCCTAGTTTTGGGGTGATTTATTATGAAATCTCAAGGTTATCTACGTAGGTGTGTGTGTCTGAGGAGAAAGCACTCACCCATTCTGCTGTCACAACATTCAAGGTGCAATGGATTAAGACTTTGCCATAGACATAGGGAGCTGCAGAGAGGATATTTACTTACAGCTTCCACAGTGATTTAATTCAGAGCCACATCGTGTGGGTGTAATTACTCACTGCGAATGAGTTGCCTCCTATCCTGAAAAAGTCATCTCTAAAGCAGCCTGAGAGCTCTCTGCAGAGAGCCGCAGACCCATGCCTGCTACTGCATGTGTGCGAGGCCAAGGCGCTCCACTGGGATGTGCAGGACATGTTGCGGCTGCCACAGCCATGCATCTGCATGTGCAGAAGGCACAAGAGATCAGGCAATGTCTGTTACCTGTTCAGCTAGCAGCGAGGCCAGGCTTGAGTAAGCATCTGCAAACTCTGGGCCGTGCTTAATGGAGTCCCGCAGTAAGATTACAGCTTCTTCTTTCTTCCCTTGGGACCTGCAGCCAAGGAAGAAAGGAAAAAAAGAAAGAAGAGTTACTGTATACGCGTGTGTTGTGGTTTTGTGTGGTGGGTTTGTCTGGTAGCAGGGAGGGGCCACAGTAATGGCTCCTGTAAGTAGCTGCTGAAGGTTTCCCTGGACTCCAGCTCTGCTGGCAGCAAGGGAGGGGCTGCAGTGGTGGTTCCTGTAAGTAACTGCTGAGAGTTCACCCCCACCCCTGGCTCCAAGGGTTTAGTAACAGGGGAGGGGGGGAGTATGCGAGACGTGTGGGAAGGAGTACCACCGACCTAGCCCCTG